GTAGTCCATAATAGTAGTGGGTTATCTGTAGGACTGGCAATGTCAGAAGTTGTTGACTTGAGCCTTTTACAGCTCAGCATATTAATATGGCTTTACTTTTTATACCTTGTGTTCATACTTTTCTGCTAGATGGTTAAGACCAAGGTAAAGCAAGATCAATATAACAAAAAATGTAACTTTCGTATCTGCCAAGTTCAGTCAAATTCCCTCAGGATTTAGCCTGAAACTCTGTACTGCAGTTTGTAGATCTTTCGTCAGTGTCAGCCATCTGGATCAGTCACGGCCATTGCTTGACCAATTTGTTCTCCATAAGGAGTCAAATAGAAGGCTCTCCAAAGGACCTGTGTAGAAGTTGTTCTCTGTCCTATCCCAGAGTACAGAATCCTTTGTCTTAGATTATAGGTACTTCAGAAACATTTGTAGGGAGAGAGGGAGAGGGAGAGGGAGTGGGGGAGGGGGAGGAGGGGGAGGAGGAGGAGGAGGAGGAGAAATGGATTTTCGCAGGATTACTGAGCTAGAATTTATAGGCGGCACATGATTTTATGGATGGAGATACCCTACCACAAATTGGAACTTGGCTAGGCCATGGTATGTAGATACTTGGGCAGATATTATTTTAGAAATTTCTGTGAAGATTTCTAAGATAAAGTTAAATCTGTATATTGTGAGTTAAGCAAATTACCCTCCTTGATGTGGGTGGTAAAGGCCTTTATCTACCCAGGTAAAGGCCTTACTAGAGTAATACTGATCTCCTGCAACAAGGAATACTTGCAGTGGAGTAAAACTGCAGCTCTTCCCGGGGCTCCAGCCTGGGCGTATTCTATAGATTTGGACCTGTCAGCCTCCACAATCTCATGAGCCAGTTCTTTCAAATCCACACACATACACAGACCAACAAACCTACCTTGTTGGCTTTCTTTCTCTGGAGAACACTGATTATTTCACTTCCAAACGGTCTGTGTTATGGTAACCCTGAGTAACTTAAACTAGTATTCCTACTTTTTCAATTGGTGATTTAGTTTTAGTACTAGATAAGCCCTCTTTTCAGCAGCAAATCTAAAGATTCTTAGACCTACAACAGTGGTCAGTGGTAACCCTGTGTGCTTCTAACAAGGCAGAAGAAGAAACTATTTTATTTTTGATAAAATAAGGGTGAGGCCTCAAGGCCACTCTCTAAATGCTTCTGCACACAGTGTGAGCTGGCATAAGCTATGGCACTGGGAGGGAATGTATAATAGCCTAGCTTATGAGAGTCACACTATGACAAAACACAGGTCAAGCCTTCTGTTAACTTCATGCCTGCCAGGGTAGGCAGAAGGCAGACAGAAGCTTTTCTGCTGAGATCCATACTGTCTGCGGCTCTCAGCCTCCTGGGTTGATGTGACAGAGGAAAGTGCTTGGGACATCAGTCTGGCCACTTGTTCTTCAGCAAACTAATGCAGGCCTCCTCTTGCGTTTGGTTGATTCAGAGCTGGCCACACCCAGTTGACCACCATGGTGGGGGATGGGGTCCTCTGTGTCCTGGGGAAGAGCTCAGAGACCCCCAGCATGAGGGCAGTAGGTGGCAGAGGGAAAAAGACTACTGTGAAGCCGGCATCACCTTTCTTAAAAACTTTTAGGCTTAAGGTGCAGCGTTGCTGGGAAATATTTTTTTCTGTGGAATATTTGCTGAGGTGTGGAAGGGGAAAAATCTCTCATCTGACATTTTATAGAGACAGGATAAAGAGCCATTCCCCCTGCTGCTCAGCTAGGGAGCCGCGTGCTCTGAACACTGTGTCCTCCGAGCATTGTGGCCCCATTATCATAAATCCACCAGGGAGAGAGTGACAGTAAGAGCTTGAATTACATTTTTATGTTGAGTATTTTGGAT